CCCCAAGCGCCTACATGGCGTATAGTGGGACAGCTTTACTTTACTTTTTTACATGTAAAATAAGGATACTTTAGGTCATATCTGTAATTATAATTTGTTACAGAGCTAAAACAATGACCCAACCCCATGCCACCTTGAAGACCTTCAAGGTACTCAGCCATCTAGGAAAAGGCGGTACGTACAACTTTCTGTTAATATTTCGCTAATTAGGTGTGTATTTATGTTTGTAAAACATGGACCTGATTTCTGAGCCTTATGGATCAATTGGCAGAGCAGAGTAGAAGCAGAAGTAGTAAGAGAAGTGCAGCCCAACCTCAGTTTGGGAACAAACTTTGGTTATATCTAATCATAACCTTCTTAAACTCAGAGACAAATCAAAATGATACATCAGAATTATCAGAGATCTTTGCTTGTTTCCGTAATCAGTTGTAGAAGACGACAGGGAACAGAGAGAAATTTTCTATATCTCCAAGGCAATCAAAATATTCTCCCAACAGTATTTTTCTTTCTCTGACGGATGATATTGTTTTTAAATGTCTTCTGAGAAAACTGGACTGGCATCCATTATGTCTGTTTCATGATGGAGAAGAATATAAAGATATATAAATTCTTAAACTAAACAAAAACCACACTTACAATGTTAACCAACCTCAAGGAGGTATTTAAGAACATACTCACTAATGGAATTCTTAAACGGGTGGACAATAAGGAGGTCAGAATTTTCTTCCTAGCACACTTTCATGTTAACTACAATTGAATCAGGGGTTAAATATATTGTTGCAGGGTGGGGAGGAGGGGAAAAAAATCACAGCAAAGTTCTGTAGCCTGCTTCTTGTTTCCGATGTCAATAACAATTTATGTCTGCATTGTGACAGCACTACTAAAGTATCCCACTACTGCCATTTATAAATATAAGTGACCGATCTTATTAAAGACAAAGTATTTTGTTTATTTTAATGTAATAAGCTCAGAATCAGGTGTTAATGAAAGTGGTGTAGACCAGTGGTATTCAACTTTTTTTATTCTCGTACCCCCAGATATAATTTCTCTTCAACTTTGTACCCCCAAAGTTGTTGGTGTATGCTTCAAATTATACATAGTATATAATCTACATCTAAAATAAATTAAATAAATTACATTACTGATTATTCAGTGTTTATCATAAAATAATGTATATTTTTTAAATTTCACGTACCCTGTAAGATGGTTTCGCGTACCCCCGGGGGTACGCGTACCCCAGGTTGAATGCCACTAGTGTAGACCATACTCTACTGAACAACATATTTTATTGTTTAATATTATTTAAACAGTGCCCATCGAAGACCTGCAAAGAACATATTTGTGCACAAATATAAAAATGATAGGATTTGAACTAGTTCCTAAATTATCAAATTGTACGGAGTTCACGTGACCGGGTCAAAGAATATTGAACACATTATTACAATAAAATTTATAACTATGAAAATATCAAGCTCGCAAATTTAAGTGAGATTTCATTTCTGTGAGCCTGTAGTGTTGTTCATAGTAAAAAGTAAAGTTTGTCCCGCTACGTGCCATGTAGGCGCTTGGGGTGAGTGGAGGTATAGCTCCTCTCTTCCAGCTAGTCATTATACTGACTGAGCTATCCCGGCTCGAAATTAAATTCTATCATCATTTAAAATTACAACTGTGATGGGAACTATTTTAGTGAAGATTTCTGTCTTCTGGGTTGTTGCACTGTGAATATTCATCGCCCTGATGACGGAGGCAGTATGACCTCTGAAACGTTGGTAAACATCGACCAGACTACACAGCGCAACAGCCCAGAAGACAGAAATATTCAAACTTCGCTGTGAAAACCTTAAATCTTACAACTATTTTAGTGTTTCTTCAATAGTGTAAGGAATGTGTATTATTAACTCTTTTTAGCCGTGAAAGTTTGATATTGCACAAAACTTTCATAAAGAACTCTCTTCTTTATGAAGGTAGAGTTTGCAGATATGAGGGCCCTCTGTTGAGCAAATATCAAAGATGACACATAATTGAGTGATTTTACAGGATATGGGAACGTGTACCTCGTTCGTAAGAAAGGCGGTCTTGATGATGGCTCACTGTACGCTATGAAAATAATGGAGAAGCCTGATGATGCATTATCACTTCAGGATAGTATAACAGAGCGTAAAGTGCATGAAAAAGTAAGCAACATCCCATTCTTGGTCGGTCTCCACTACGCCTGTCAGACAGAAATGAGGCTGTACCTGATAATTGGTGAGTACATAAAAAAATTATAAAGACGTGTATTTATTATCACTGTAAAAACAGATTTTAAGAACTGAGCTGTCTCATTAGGGATCTGACCATGTTCACATATAAATAATTTTAATCTTAAGTACCCAATGCAATACAATTTAATATTAATATATAGATATATATTTATTATACAAGTCTATACACAAACTTTTAAATTGTTGATGTTTAAATTTTAAAATTTAAAATCACCATTAATATTCTGCGCCATTCATTGTTATTTCGATGTTACAATATTACGCTATATATTACAACATGTTTCAATGTCATAGCATCATCTTCAGGTTTTTATCATTTAAAACTATTCTATATTTATTAATGCACGCTTAAATTTTAACATCTACAATTTAAAAGTTTGTGTATAGACTTGTATAATAAATATATATCTGAATTTTGAACACAAACATGACGCATCTAAACTATAAAATTAATATATAGTTTTACAATTTAATGCTCAATTTGAGTAAATGTAATAAATATTATAATTGTAATTTTATTCAGAAAACATTACCCAGTATACACAACACACAACAGATTAGTAGCATGTAGAAGTGTATGAAGACGGGCAAATAAGCATGCGACTTGTATCACGTATAAGATAAAGTATCAGTATGTGTTTTGTGTAAAGACAGTAACTATAAAGAAACAAATTCTAACTACAACGATGCTCTAACATGAAACAGCACCATAACTGCATGTGAAGGGCCCTCTTTGGGCTGCGGGTATCGTCTCGTAGAGAGGCGTACATCACCACTTTGTGAGAGATCCCAGATTCATTCTTAACTTGGAGAGAAACCCATTGTCTCTTTCTAAACTGTCTTGTCAGCTTTCGATTTCTGCCGAGTGTCACTTTGCAATATCGCTAGTACTGAATTCAATATGCAACTCAGTATAATTCAGTGAACTCTATAATAACCACCATTAAATGTAACAGCAGAAATCATATAACACTGCGATCACAAAAAGCAAACCAAATAAGTAAAGACAGCTCAGAACTTGCAGCATAACAAAGCTGTCCTAGTGACACATGGCCACAAGGTGAAGGGGGGATAAAATCCTTCCATTGCTTGGAAGCTATTATAGTAGCAGTAAGCGTCCTTACAGTAAAAAGGTCGTGTCGTTATTGTTCCAGACTATTATGAAGGTGGTACTATGACAAATCTCTTAAGACAGAAAGGTCCATTTACAGAAGATCAAGCCAGAATTTATATAGCAGAAGTTGTCCTCGCAATAGAGCACCTTCACAAGGTAGGTACACTGTTGCACTATGGTCCTTTCTTTGCCAATAAACTACACAAGATCGTATAAAACCTAAAAGCACTTAACTTATTAATTACACAACTGCACAATTTTTTACTTCATTCAATACTTTTTTATTCACTACACGGTGGTCTAGCGGTTAAAACGCTGGCCTTGTAATCCTGGGGTCTTGGGTTCGATTCCCGGCTGTGCCCGAATTTATAACTTGTGTTGGGCAAGGCCGTGGTCTAGGCAACACGGAGTTTTCCTCCGTGGCATCCCAACAATTACTCCATTCACACACAGAAGAAGGCAATGGCAAACCACTTCTGGATCATCTGCCAAGAACGTATATGAACAGGTCCCAGTCCGAGAAAAGGATGGAAGGATCCTGTTCATATGGACCTGTCGTCAGACAGAACACTAAATAAATAAATAAACATAAAAAAACAATTTTTAATTTCTGTAAAAAATATCTGAAGTGATACCAAAAGCTTACTGCATCAACCTCAGAATTTCTGCTTATTTATTCTAAATAATGCTTTCAGGTTTAATTAGCACGGAATCTGATTGTTAAATTTCCCCCACAGTAACATGGCGGGATCTATCTTGCTTATTAATAATAATTTTATGTTTATGCGCAAAGTGTGTAAGCAACAAGGTAGAAAGATAGTAACTAATAAACAAACTCACCTGCTGAGAAGTTATGCATTTGTTTCTTTCAGATGAGAGTAATCCACAGAGATTTGAAACCAGACAACATTCTATTGGATGCTCGTGGTCACGTCGCAGTCGCAGACTACGGCATTAGTAAAACATTCCGCAGTCCTAAAAAGGTAAATTGAATATCCACCTTATCTCTTGGTCGGTTTACTTACAGGAACATACACGGTGAAAATCTAGGAGCTATGTGGACCACTGTATCAAACAGTATTATTTATTTGACAGTCGTCAAAGTACAAGAACCAAAAAGAGGGGAGAGGTTTCATGTGTTAGACCACACATGCTGAAGAGTATTTAGGAAAAACATATAACTAACAGATGTCTGAAGTTCTTTGAATCTGAGGGGTGAACTCAAAAGTACAGAAATGTATTATCTATAGCACCGCCACACGTAATTTTCTCCTTCGGAGTTTCTTAAATAGTTATTATATAGTTCGAAAACCAATGTACCAGTCCAGAACCCCTGTAACTGGTGGAATTAAAAAATTTGAACTGGCCAGCAAATCACGTGTGAAAGATCCTACGCTAGTAAGTCATGTGTGGAGGTTCCCACGCTAACAAGGGATCTGGATATTGTTAAGAAAAAACCTTGGAAAATGCCAAACTGGAAAATCAAGGATGTGGTCTTCAGCATTAGACGTGCTCAAAGTTTTGTTTCTATTAGTAGAGAGTTGCTTTGTGTCTGATTCTTGTCACAGATATTTAAAATGTTGTTTCGATCAACAGGCCAAACGTACATATTCATTCTGCGGGACTAGAGAATATATGGCTCCAGAAGTCATCAGATCCAAAGGTTACGGCTTAGTAAGTATCTTATATACCTTGAAAATGTGAAAATAATGATTTCACTGCTTCATGTAACTGAACTAACAGTATAATTAATTTACTAATCTGAGTGTTTGGAGCTGCAAATAGAAACTCCTTTAACAATGACAAATGCATGAATTTGTCAGTATACGTTTTAGGTGGCAGAACTGAATTTGGTGCCATTTGGTACGATGACTGATACATATTTGCCAGAAAAATAGAATTTAAAATACAAGTACTGAAATTTTCAATAATTGTTCTTTAGTATCATTCCCTTCATCTGCCCCAAACAAGAAAGAGCTTTAAGTGTCTATTTTCGTTGTATTATTTCCCTTCCCCACCCCCCAAAAGAAAAGGGGGGAAAAATTTACTTAGATACAGACTGAGCTTTAAAGAATAAATGTAGTATATTAAGAGATTTTGAATTAAAATAAAGACCAAAAGTACTTCTGAACTCTCAGTAGTTCAAAAGGCATTAAAGAATGTACGAAATCTCAGGCACTTTAACAAAGTAACCTTGAAAATTTGCTCCTATTACCTTTATCATTACCTCTCTCTCTGTCTACAGGCAACATTTCGGGAAGGACTTAACAGATTTTAATGACACGTGTTGATTAATGTGAAATGAAATAAACAAAGGCTTCTGTCTGGTAGATGTCCACCAACGTTTCAGAGGTCATACTGCCTGTATCATCTGGACGATGATCACATTAATCGCCCTGATGATGGAGGCAGTATGACCTCTGAAATATTGGTGGGCATCTACCAGACAACACGGCGCAACAACCCAGAAGACAGAAATCTTCATACTCACCGCTGTGAAAACGTCAAGTCTTACATGAAATGAAATAGTTTGCCTGTACAATGAGAACTTAGAACAGTGGATAATAAAGTGATTTTTAAGGTTATGACCAAGTTTTCGCGTGGAAAACTCAGCACAGTCTGTCTGGCCAAGAATCAAACTGATACCTATGTGAATTAGATAAATGAAGAAAGAATATTTTTCATACGTAACTGAAGGCAATAAAGGAACAACATTGGTTTCTGTTTCTGGAGACACTTGTGAAAACGTGTCTCAAACATGACGAAATTAAAATGACTGAATGCAGTTGTTGACCTTAATCTGAATTGTTGCAGGCAGCTGACTGGTGGAGTGTTGGCGTACTAGCGTATGAGATGGTGAAAGGAGTCAAACCATTTAAATATAATAAAGATTGCTCTGATTGCACGCTATTTAGGTAAGTCCTTATCATTTGGAAAGAGATGTGTGTTTCCTGTGAACACCATGTTGCTTTGAATAAATTTCTACACAAATTAGTTAGTGGCTAATACCATGACTGTGAAACTTCAGTAAATTAGGTGGACACATTTAAAACTTATAGAGAATTAACTTTAAGAAAGGGGGAAAAAAATGCAAGCACAACTATGACCACAACCATTAAGAAATGAAGTTGGTGGAGGACGTCGACTGAATTTAAGGGACAGAGTAATAGTTTCTAAAGCTGAATAACATAACATGTTTAATCTAATCCAGTGGTCCCCAACCTTTTTGTGCCTACGGGCACATTTGAGAGTTTATGAGATCGTGGCGGGCACCAACCAATTAACAAAGTCAAATTTTCTCTTCTCTGGATAAATAAGATATAGACACCAAATAATACGCAAAACAACACGACGTTTAGAGATACAAGAAACCACGTGATCAAAAATACGTACTTTTATATGTACAATTATTATTATTCAAGTGGTAAGTTAGTGTGATGTTTGGCACTGCATTTCATCTGCCATTTTTTCAAATTTGGGTTGTGTGGGATGATGTTGCTGCTCGCAAACAATCGTAAAGATGGGCGTCAGTAAGTCGAGTCTGTGCTTTGATTTTATAATGTTCATGGTTGAACGGCCTTCATTATTCAGTATAACCTCTTTTGGTAACAACGCGGGCACCCAAAGAAAGCCTTGGCGGGCGCCGCGTTGGGGACCACTGACCTAGACCATCTTCCTTATCTCTTGTATAACCTACTCTTGATATCTTCTTACAAATTAAACACTAATCAGGTCTCTTATTTTTAACAAGCATGTTTTTAATTGCAAATACAAGAATGGATATTTATTTTACAGTAAAATTCTGAATTGCAAACCGGTAATGCCAAGGAGTGCATCCAAGGACATGAGAGATTTGATAACCAGACTTTTAGAAAAACAACCAAGATACCGTTTATGCACAGGAAAACGTGATGCTAAGGAGATCAAGACCCATCGATTCTTCCGCGTAAGTTCTTTGCCTGCGTCTGTTACATACACACCTGTATAAATGTTTTAGTTCTAAGCTGTCTTTTCCATGCAATGCACAGGGGAAAATCAGGCACAGTTTGCGACTTTTATCTCCAGAATAAATATCATATATATTTGAGGATAAAAATAACAGGTTTAGGAAGACAGTACATAATGTACTGTTAAATTAGAATTTCTGAAGAATGCTCTCAGCACATTCCTTAAATTTCCTAACAACTTCTTTGAAACCCTGATGGCATAATTAAATTAATACTTCATTTCAAAATCTTCGTCTTTAAATTGACATGTTCTCACGTCTACCTTGCACACTTTACTCTGTAATCAGAATTAATGTTTGTTCTTCGTCCTACAGGACATCAACTGGGAAGATGTCAAAAATAAAGTAATACCAATGCCATTCGTGCCAGTTTTTGATCACGGAATTAATAACACCATTCAAGAATATTCAATTTTGGAGCCACCCATCTCTGAGATGGAGAGGGGAAAAACTGTCAAGGTCAGAACAAGTACATTGTCCAATATTTAAATATTTAGTGTTTAAAATCAGGATTTATTTCTGACGCTCCTACTACCTTCGGAAAACATTTTCAAAGCCGAGAGCTATATTGTCTCGAAGGAGTCAAGGCAATTAAGGCTTCGACCGGGATGTTCTTTTGTTAAATCTTATGTGGTACCGCCTGATTCGACTTCTAATGGTTAAGTGAAGTGTTTTCTTCGCGGTACGGTCTGGATTCGTAAATATTATGAAGACGAGCTTCGGCTTCTAAGGGTTAACCAGCTGATTTTCGTAATGGTGAGGTGTAGTGTTTTCTTCGCGGTACGGTCTGGATTCGTAAATATTATGAAGACGATCTTCGTCTTCAAAGGGTTAAGAATGAACGTCCTTCGACCTTAGCCAATGTTTGTGCTCTGGAACTCTGATATGGTGCAGCGAATGAAACCACGACTATCATGGTGAATTGCAGATGATAATAAAATTGTTGGAAATATTTTATGACTGAGGTACAGCCTGCTACTGAAAACAGAGCTTAATATGAGCAGAAAATATTGTGAAGTCTTTTTGAGAAGCTGATAGTACGCTCAGCTAGTTTCAGAACTGGGCGTGTATAACAGTTCTTAACATGCTACTTCTTTTATGGCAAGGAGTTGTTTGCGTATCACCCATGTCCAATATATTTGCAGCCACCCTCCATATCTCCATATATACTTTAATACATTGGTGGCTGACTACATCGAGTTGACTCGGGATCGATATCAGTGATCGACTTTTACTACATCAAGTTGACTTGGGATCGATATTAGTGATCGACTTTTACTACATCGAGTTGACTCGGGATCGATATCAGTGATCGACTTTTACGTTAGCAATTTTTAATATTTAGACCCTAATACGAGAGAAACATGTTTAATTTTTATGGGCCTATGAGTTCTATAATGACAATACCCATTTTACTAAACATGTTTCCACAAAACTTAATTTCTTTTTACCTTATAAACACCGCGGCAAAGAAGATACATTACGTCTGAATTTACTTACTGATATGTGACCTTTGTAACTGGTATTGCAGGGTTATACATTCCCACCACCAGAATTTATTCCTAATGGAAATTCTTCTCGCAGTTCCTCTCAGTGCTCAGACACAGTAAGTAATAATATTTTAGCTGAATTAATTTCTCAGAAGTTTTGTCTTTCAAATATACACGTTGCAAGTCATTATATTAAGAGTTGTTGCTCTTTATTTTAATCTAACATAATAAATTATATTTTTATTGTTCAGCTTTTAAACATACACAAGAAATTAACAAAACTAATTATTTAATAAACAGCTACAGCAAAACCTTCATATTTGACTATTATAAAAATTAGGAATGATGAAAGTACTAAATGAAGAAATCATTGCACGAAACTGACTCCTGTTTTTGTGTCCAGAATGCAGAACCAATGGCGAAGAGAAACATTATTAAACGTCAACCTAAAAGAAACATTCCCAACAGAATTCCTGAACCAGGTAAATATCTTATTTCACAATACATGTACAATTTCAAATTTATCCAGACAATAAAGCTCCATACTGATGTTGCTCTCTTGGGTTTTAATGCTGTGAGGACATGCAAGTACACGCCAACATTTCACAGAAACATAGTGCCTCAATTGTCAACCCTGAAGATAGTGGCAGTATAATCTTCCAAAACATTGGTATCATCCTACAAATCCATATGGCTTTATAACCAAGGAGACCGACATTGACAACCTCAAATCCCGCATAGTAAAATTCTGTTTCCTTTATTTCTGTATAAAAGGAAATTTAATTACATTATATGAACCCTGTGCTTATTTTACGTAAAATCTTTGTAATAGTTTAAATTTACTCGCTTTAAGTATTGTATTATTATGACTTGTCACCTGACTGACTTGTGGATCCATGCAATGTAATTAATACGGATAATTTGTGTGCGCGTGTGTGAATTTGTCATCTGCACAGTTTACAAATACTGATGTGCAAAATTCTTTTACAGCTATCAAGGCTGGTCCTTCCAAGGCAATGCCATGCAAGCAGAAGCGGAAACCTAGCTTCAAACAGGCTGTACCACCTTGCAAGAAGCATAAATATGGCCGCTCACCGCATGACACTGAAGACGTCACAACCAGCGAAACTTAAAAAACAGATACCATTTAAATGGCAAAGGGAAAGCAGTCAACTTACAGCCACACTGCCCTATGGGTGCATCGCATGGGCCATCACAGCCAAGAAAAGCATAGCATGGCCCAGTGCCATTCAGCACGGAACAGCATTGCTCGGCTGTGCCCATCTTGGCCAAGCAGTGCCCTGCAAGACCCTAGTACCACTTAGCACAGAAAAGTAAAGTCCAACTGGGCTTTCCTGGCAATACTGGATTCTGCTGAGTGATCCTGGGCCGTCCTGGATGGTATTTGGCCTTGCTGAGCCAACCTTGGCCCAATAACACCCTGCAAGGCTCAGCAAAGCCCATCAGGGCCCAACACAGCCCATTTCAGCAACGCTCATATCAGTTTTATTATTTTGTAAGCACCTGTACAAAAAATCAACAATAAAATATCAACTCAATTATATCAGATGATGGGTGTCGTCTGGATTGATGCGCTGTGTAGTCTGGTAGAAATTGACAGATGTTTCACAGGTCCTTGCTGCTTCCATCAACAGGGTGATTAAGACTGCAAGGACCTCTGAAACGTTGGTAAACTTCTGCCAGACCACACAGCGCAACAACCCAGAAGACGGAAATCTTCATACTCTGATGACGGAGGCAGTATGACCTCTGAAACGTTGGTTAACATCGACCAGACTACACAGCGCAACAACCCATCTTCAGAGTCACTGTCGTGAAAACCTCAAATCCTACATGAATTATATCAATTACCAAAAATCAGTTGTCCTAGTCAGACATTTTCTTTCACGGTGGAAAAGGATGTCTGACTTGCATTCAGGAGGCACCCAGTTTAAATCTTGTTCAGGCACTAAGCCAAGAGTCAATAACTGAACCTCCAGTTAAGCAGCAGTTAAATTCAATGTATAAATTCCCACCCTATTTTTTATCAAAGAGACATTTTAAAACTGTCCACCCACGCAGGCCTAGGTCTTGCAAACAGCATTTCTGAGTAGCATTTCGTATGCAAAGGGATTCTGAATCATCACGTATCAGGTCTCACTTCCAACGACAGACTTACGGCTTATCTGCAGTGGACGAAAATGAGGACACTGATGCATGCATTTGAGAATTTCTGTTATTCGTCGAGTTTAAACAATATGACGACTTTCGCCATTAGAAGGGTAAAACTACATTTGTTAGTGAAGTAGAGGGGGGAAATGTTATCGAGGGAGTATAATTACAACGATAAGAAAACAGTACAAAACTAAGTCCTGTTTCTTCCAGTGAACAAGGAAATTCCTATTCTGGAATGTAGAATCATGAAATAAAACAATTAAATGTAAAAGGAAGAAAAATTACAACATTAAGTACCTACATCTTTTCATCCGGTCTGTCAGTAAACACCTTTTCAACTTCCTCCATGAATCATTTCGTCCTTTGTTTCTGCACAGACAGCTCGTTACATGAGCGACAATACGCGGCAACACCGAATCTAATGATGGGAAATTAGCCACAAGGCGCACTGAGTCTGTTATTCTTCTTTTTCAGGGGTAGCCAACTTGAAAACAACACACTAAAACTTATCCTCTGATCACGACTCATGAAACCTGTACCACAGACGTGTATCACACAATGTAACGTTGCCCCCTTTCCTCTCACATTCTCTTTTATTATCTTCCGTTTCTCTCTCTCACCCTCCTCTGCTTCATTTGTTTTTCTCTCTCTCCCTTCCTTACTTTCTTACGCACATTCTTTTTCATTTTCCTTTTTTCAGTCCTCCTTTCGAAACACACCATAAAAGTGTGTAAGAAGTGCGTATGCAGCAGAGTGGTAAATCTCCATGCATTACTAAAGCACTCGGCACTAGACAAATGTGTGTTCAGCCTGCCGATACGTCTGACCCATCCACTGGCGCCAGTGACGGAGGGAGGGATGCGGCGGAGAACAGAACCTTTGCAACGTTACGTAAACTGACTTTCTTCGTGCATCCATAAACCACGGATAAATCACAGAAACGCTCTAAGATTGTGGTCTTTTGGGTAGCTGTGCCTTGTATATATGTACACCAGCGTTTCGGGAGGAACATGCTGCCTCAGCCTTTAAGGCTGAATTAACTTCAATCAACATGGTGCAGGAACACAAATCAATATCTTTCCTTCCAGCGCCATAAACACTGTGGAAGTCCTGCATATAAACACGTTTTAACTAGAAACATAAAAAAACGTAATCGCCATTGTTTTAGAGTTCCTTGTAGGCTCTGCGTCATTCGTATACCTACCACAAACAATAAGCGAGCAAAGATATCTCAGTGGGTGATGATTGGCTGATTGGACGACAGCGGTTCAATCCTCGACAGAGGAGCGCAGCGAAAATCACCCTGTATTCGCCACCCGGCTTTAAAATGGGTGCCGGTGATTACAATTCATCAGCAATCAATTCAGCAATGCTGTTAAATTAATTTCTTTTAAAACTTTGTCTAATTTTCACATTAATTTCACAGTTTCACAACCGTGAAGGTCTAAAATTTCACTGCCGCAGAAACCTTAAATCTACTGCTTAAATTACCCATTTCACAAATTTAAATCGTCTAATGTATTCTGCAACACTCTGTATAATCGTATCCGTCTTCTTAGGGTCCATGGAAAAGAAAATTAAATTTTAGGCTCATTATTTCTCGTATTACATGTACAAATAAAACATTATTAACCCATTTCAAAGAAAATATATTGTTATAAAATGAAAAAAAAATCATTCGAGGAAAAATAAAAAAATTGATTGTGGTGATTTGTCACAAATTATGTAATTTAATAGACGTCTTTGATTAGTTTTGGAAAATTTAATTCTAATTTTGTGAATGTCTTTGATTATTTTTGGAAAATTTAATTCTAATTTTGTGAGATTCTGGTCTACTTCTAAATCCAAATCAGTTCCTGTTGAATTTTCTTAAAAACAATAGTGGATTTAAGGTAGTTAAAATGTTGGACAACCCTGATCTATGTTGTAGCACGAATATTGTTGTGCGAGAGTTTTAATCAATGTCAGAAAGATTTCTGTCAAAAACGGAGGAAGATTGTTGCCGAGTGAGAAGCTGTGTCGTGTGAACTTTGTGACGAATCATCCAACACGCCGTGGCGCATTGTTCAGAAACATAAAAGCATCGCGAGTCGTCTTTGCTTTTGTGACGTCAGTTCGATGTGATTAATATCGCTTCAAATTTTGTACAGAGTGTGATCAATCTGAAGATTTTAAACACCGCCCAGAAAGTAAGATCAATACTGGTTTCTTATCATTAATTTCCTAACGATTTCCATTCAACACAGTGAATCACACGTCTGAAATAGCCAATTACTTCCGGAACTTTTATAGCATTTCACTGACATTGTTCCATTTTGTGCGAAATTTTAAAATGTAATGCCCATTTAAGAGGCATTATTTACTACGTGCTTTCAGAAGCCAGGGGTACATTTTACCAGGTATTTAACTGTGACTGGAACACCACAGATGCATAGCAGTGTAGTATACACTACACGTATAAAACATTCTAACCCAATAAACTTTATTAGATTGACGATAAATTTGTGGTTTATTTCATAGTGCTAACTCTGAAACTAATTTATCCAACGTAACTGGAGACATCAATGATTTTACGTCAGACACATTTTTTAAAGTTGAATACAACAAATAGAAAAGCAAGGGAGTTTTCCTCCGGGGGCTTCCCCGGTTTCTCCGTGGCATCCCAAAAATTACTCCATTCACACGCAGAAGAAGGCAATGGCAAACCACTTCTGGATCATCTGCCATGAACGTATATGAACAGGTCCCAGTCCGAAAAAAGGATGGAAGGATCCTGTTCATATAGACCTGTCGTCAGACAGAACACTACAAATAAAAAAAATAAAAAAAAGAAAGAAAGAAAGAAAGAAAGAAAAGAAAAGTTCCCAGATGTTATTTAATCATTTAATTACAATTCCTGTCGCTAAAATAAATACCGGTGAGACGAAACTATTCATGTTCAATATTCGCTGAATATCTATACGTAAATTTCTGTATTTTAATTTCTTAAAATGTCGCCATATATGAGGGCAAAGTAAAACTAAAATTACAAAAATCGGGCCCGAATACGTAGAGCACAAAATTCGAAGGAGAATGACACCGAAAACTCCGGGCCCGGACCCGAAACCAACGCGCAGTACTGCCGCGAATATAGGCAACGTAAGCGCGCTCGGACAACTCAGGCGGCATCTGACGAGCCTGGGTCAAGTATGGATGTGTACCAATTAAGAAATAATCATTTATAAAAATGATTACATTTACAATATCCCTAAGTTAAACTATTAATTATTAACTAATATTGTCGTTAAGAATTTTATGAATTTTTTTTTCTTCATATGTAATAGATAGGTATAGTTCGATAGATGAAATTTTGAATTTTTGTTTTGTTTTGTTTATTAGATGAAAGTGTTGTTTTGAAGAGGAGTGTATATGTTACAACTCATCCTGGGCTCCAAGTGTGTATCTCAAAAACTCAAAAAGATACGAGGCTGTGAATTTGAAAAAGTTTGAAAATTTTCCTATTTTCTTAAAATGTCGCGATATATGAGGGCAAAGTACACGCAAGGGAAAACTTGTATAGATTTGACATTTGCCAAGAGGTATTCAAATAATTTCAAAGCCATGTGTATCCTACTTCTCATACCACTACCCTGTATTCAATAAATGTAAGTTGCAAATGAATTAAACGATTCAAAACAAAAATTTTGTTTAATTTCAATATACTATTCACGATTGACGTTTTCACGAAAATAACTGCGGCAGTGCCTATCAATTTTTTTAAAAGTAATTTTATTTGTGTGCATGTTTCCAGTAGCTTAATTTCTTCCCATTTCTTTGTCTCTGCCTGCTTTGCTTCTTTTCAGTTTTTGTCTATTTCCGTCTAATTTTATTTTGTTGTTTCTGAAATTCTTTGCTTCTCTAATTCTTTCTCGTTCCATGTGCACCCCTGGTATAGAAACAACTGTACAGTAGTACAAAGTTTCCACAGAGAAGAAAAAGGTCTACCACTCCTCTGCCGCTTCATATGAACAACCTCTTTGGATGCGAAGAATTCTCCTATGTGTCAGATGGTAGTACAACAGATAGCGCTACTATATATATCACTGTCCATTGAATTCAATACCGAAAAAGCAGGTGCAGGAGATGTTTTGATAAAACGCACGAGATGTTTCTAGTGTAGTCCTAACGGAAGGCGCACAACACTGTGTTGGAAATAAAGCTTAGCATATTGCAGAGAAAGCATTCCATCTTATCTTTACGTGTACTTTTTTAATTTTCCGTGCAATCTTATAATTTGTTGTGGCATAACAAAAATGAAATCTTAGATGATATATTGAGCAGATGAACTAAATATGAGATATGTGGAAATATTATAAATCGATAATGTAATTTTAAATGTAAATTGTCAAAACAGT